TGGGGGACTAATTGGCTGCGATGATGAACGTCCCCGGCGGAGGAGCAGCCGCGCTGATGATGACGGGTTACAATAATGGTCGCTATCCCCGGAACTCTCTCTACAGCGACTGCATCATCGAGGAGAAGACGGTGGTCCTGCAGAAGAAGGACAATGAAGGCTTCGGCTTCGTGCTCCGCGGGGCCAAAGGTGAGGGCGCCGGAGCCGGGGCAAGCCCCGGGGTCGCGTGCGTGTGTGTGTGCACGTGTGTGCATGTGTGTGCGTGTGCATGTGTATGTGCGCGTGTGTGCACGCCTGTGTGAGATGCTCCCCGGCTTGGAAATAAGCATGCCAGAAGCGTTTTTCCTGGGGACACTCGGTTGCTAGACAACCGTGTTCCTTTAACATGCGGCCTTACTCAGAAAACACTGGGGCTCCCTTTAGGAATTTTTTTTTTTGTACACAGTATTGCTCTGGGAGGGCTCCCTCCCCCTACCTTTTTTTTTTTTTTTTTTTTTTTTTAAATCATGGGGATAATCAATATCCTGCGCTCCGCTCCAGCCAGACTGTGGCTGCATTCAGAGCTCCTGGTCTCAGACACCAGAATCACCCAGCCCCGAGTTTCAGGCATCTAGAAACTGCCCCATTCTGGGAGTGGGCTTCCTACCTGCAAGGGCAGCTGGCACCCGTGTGCCTGCCTCTAAGGTGACTTTGCAAAGGAAACAAGGCAACATGGTCCCCTCTGGCATGGACCGAGCTGGCAGCACACGCGTTGTGTGGCCCGTGGTGGGAGGCTCCAGGATGCAGTTGGTAGCAGTACACCCCCCTACCCAGGCAACATGGTCCCCTCTGGCATGGACCGAGCTGGCAGCACACACGTTGTGTGGCCCGTGGTGGGAGGCTCCAGGATGCAGTTGGTAGCAGTACACCCCCCTACCCCCGCCACCCTGCACTTGGGGGCCTCCCTTCCAAGAGAAAGCAAAATGGCATCACCTCCCTGAGACAGAAGACGTCTGCCCACCACATGGGTGTGGGTAAGCTGTGTGGAAGTTTCGTCGCAGAGTTCCGGTGCTGTGCCGGGGGTCCCGCACCTGTGCGAAGGGAGGCCTCCTTCCCCAGCCAGCATCTCACCTGCCTTTGGCTTAGGCAGCCCAACAGCCAACAGTCCAGAGAGAGAAAGGAAGGAAGGATCTGTCCCCGTGTGTGTGTGTCCCTGCCTGTCCGTGTGGTGTGCCCTTCCCACCCCCCCAACCGTGGCCATCTTCATCTTCCCGCCCACCCAGACTCGGCCACTCATGACTACCAGGAAAAGTCTATCTTTTGCCCTAGACTTTCACTTGGCAGCTGGGTGGGCCCCAGATGCCATGCCTTGCTCTGCTGAGGACCAGGGGTTCAGCCTACCATGGACGCTGGCACAAGGTGGTCACAGGGAGCCAGGCTACCCAGGGAGAGGCTTCACAAGCAGATTCCAAACCTGCAGCCACCCACTGGGTCAGTGTTATGTGCTGTCCCTGTTCCAAGCTGAATTCCCTTGGTTGCGAGTCTATGTAGATGTAAATTTGGCAAGTGGTTCAGTGTGGTGTTTCTGTAGCTCCGTGTGGTATGGGAGGAACCTTCCATTTTTAGAACTGAAAATGTTTAGTCACCGATGCTTTTAAAGAAGATGACAGGCATGTAGACATGTACTGCAGAGCACGCTATCCCCTGGTTTTAGCAGAGGGGCCAAGAAGTATGATGGTTGGCATCAACACGCAGGTGGCTTCAGGGCTTGAGTTAGCACTGACCCATGAGTGAGTCTCAGCCCTTCCCGGGGGAGGGTTGGCCTGGACCATCTGCTTGTGATGGGGATGCAGGAACCTCTTCCTCCCAGGGTCCCATGGGAGGTAGGGGACAACCAACTTTGAAAACATCTCCCAGGCCTGTAATAAGGTGCCTCTTGTCTTCCCAGCGGATACACCCATTGAAGAATTCACACCGACGCCGGCGTTCCCGGCTCTGCAGTACCTTGAGTCTGTGGATGAAGGAGGAGTGGCATGGCAAGCCGGCCTGAGGACTGGGGACTTCTTGATTGAGGTAGGGACACAGGTGTTCGTATCCTTCTGCTTGGGGAGAGCGCCGACTCTCGTCTGGGAGAGGGCCGTGGTCTTGGCAGTATGGTGCGAGGCCAGATCTGGGGTTGCTCATGGAGGCTGCTTGGACGTTGGCTATTTGGTTGGTTTCACCCACTGTGGGTGCCACTTCCTGTGGACCTGGTGATTGGGTTGTCTTTGAGGTCCTGGCTCTTACTCTTTGGAAGGAGAAACATATGGGGAACTTGTCCATAGGTCTTGACGTAGAAGGTGGAAAGAGACATGTGGTTGCCGTGATGTTGGGGACATGTGAGGATCTGTAGGGGTTTCGTTGTGAGTCTATAAATAGATACCTGGAGGAGTCACGCCCATTCTTGTGTCCTAAGGCAATTAGCAAGCACTGTCAGTGTGAGGTCTGTAGTGTTGATAGCTAAGAGTTTGTTGATTGCAGGTTACTGTAACAGCCATGTTGGAAGGATGATGACCCTCAAAGACCAAGGAGCATGGGCAAGGGGGTGGCTGGAGCTGATGGCACATCAGATGCTTTGAAAGCTAGCTTTTGCTCGTCCATAATAGGACGGAGGAGTCTCCTCATTTATGGAATCCCACTAGACACGAGTGCCTGGAGTTGGCACACGGGGTGTGTGAGGTGTCCAGGGCCCCAGCACATCTGAGCGTCTTGCCTTTTTGTGGGTTTAGGTGTTACTTGCAGTCTCATTGTGCAAAGTAACGTGTTACTCTTTAGAAATACGAAGAGTAAAAGAATGTCGAAGGTTGGAAAAGATCGCTTTTTCAAGGTTTGGTAGACTCATATGGCCCTCGTTGGGAGCTCACAGTTCCTGGAGAAGCGTTACCCAGTGTTAACCCAGGGCCCTGCCTCGTCTGCATGGGAAATCCATGTGCAGGTGGGAAGAATGG